GGGGGGTTAAAATCTTCCACACGTATATCGGGGATAAATGATATGATAGAGGGGATAAAACAGCCTACATTGGGTCCAGCAGAAACCAAGTGGTAAAACAGATACCCCAGATTGAACAAACAATAATTTATAAAAATGAAGTGTTATGTGATTGTCAGGCCTTCACTTCTCTAAATGTCCACTTTCGAGGCACACTATCTGTTTTAAACTCCTGCAATTATATAGAAAGCAAAAAGATTTTCTCGGCTCATGTGATGATTTGCGGACCACTTTAAGGGTACACAATAGTTTATCTCTAACACGTATAAATGCCAAGAATGTATTTTTTTTAAAATAAAATTTATACAAATAAAAATACAATATACTGTAATACCCATAAATGATAATCATCATTATCATCATCGTGATAATAGTGATAATAATGAGTAAAGTTTTAGTAAGAGTTTCACGGCACTTGCAACACAATAAGGTCATATGAGCGCCAGAAGATTAGAGGTGTTACAAGAGAGTAGCAAACATACAAAAGAAGAAGGGGAGATAAGGACGATAGATGTTTGATAGAAAAGAAGGAGCAAACCACACCAGAGCACCCGCCAACCACCCACACAATATACTGCAATACCCATAAATGATAATGATAATGATAATAATAATCATCATCATCATGCATCATCATCATCATCAATCATAATCATCACCATCATCATCATCATCACCATCATCATTTTTTGGTAAGCAGGGTAGGAGGGAGAGTCTTGTTTTAATTTTAGACAAAAATAAAATAACAATATAAAATGTTTAAATTTGTTTGATAGCTCAACGTTTCGCCCTGTGGGCTTCCTCAGGAGCAACTGATAGAAAAACTAAACGAGCGCTGTATATCAGTAGGGAAATGGGCCTATCAAATGGGGTCTTAGGGTTACGTGTGGTTACAGGCTAGACGGAAGTGACTAAGTGGGTGAAAGGCCAAGGGGCTAATTGTAAGGAAATTGATGCTAGTCATCAAGGATATCAATTGTATCTCTACGAGAGGCTGTCAACAACGCCGGGAAAAAACAACAACAACCACAACGCCAACAACAATTATGCGTGACCCACCTGTAACAACACAGAGCCATCTGGAATTGTGATGCGTAGACAAAACTTCTGCCCGGCGTCCCACCGGGACACGATGTGGACGTCCTCTATACTGGAGTACGGCACAGCCAGCTCCATGAAGCCCGTCGGCTGGCAACGAAACGGGGAGGGGAAGAGGAAGGGGGGAGGAGGGGCGGGGACAGGGGGGGGGAAGCAGACAGAGGAAGAGAGAGAGAGAGGAGGAGGAGGAGGAGGAGGAGGAGAAGGAGGAAGAAGAAGAGGAGAAGTAGAAGGAGGAGAAGGAAGAAAA